AACTGATAGATAAGCCATCACAAAGCATGTGAGAAAGTGATAAGAAGAAAGAAAACAGGTGAACAGGAAAGGAACTAAGAAATTAGGGAAAGGGACAATTTAAAATTCGGTGGTCCTAGGGTCAGCTCCATTGAGAAGGTGACACCTTTCAAGTCTTTCAAGCCAAGACTTGAAGGAGGAGCTAGCCGTTGCATAGCTGGGGGAAGGGAGTTCTAGAAGAGGGAGTGGGCCATGCAGCGCCCCCAGGGCCAGAAGCAGGGCTGGAGTGAAGTCAAGGAGAGGCAGTGAGGAGGAAGTTCGCAGGGGGCTGAAGAAAAAGTCAGGGGGTGGAGGGCAGGTGGTGGAGGGCTTTGCAGGCTGAGTAGGAGCCTGGAAGTTCCCCGAGTGAGGGGAGGAGCCAGGCAGGCTCTGAGCAGCAGGTGCCCCGCCCTGATTCACAGAGAACCCAGAGAGGGGCAAGTGCAATACAGAGGACTCAATTCTACTCAAACCTAACGAGTTGATTTAATGAATGGGAGGGCTTGGGAATTAGGTGACAGGTTCTTTGATAGTAACAGTGGGACCAAGTTCAAGAATTTGGGCTGCCATGCCTTTATTTCAGCCACCCAGTGATTTCCTCTAAGTCTCTTCAAAAACTATCAGCTCCTCTGAGATTCCCTGCACGGCTGTCCTGGCCTACAACCCCCTCCACCAACTTAGGCTCCACATTCTGTTGCTTGGTTTCCCTGAGATCACTAAAGGCTCTTTGAGAATACATAATGTCATGCCATTCCCCATTCCCTTCAGTACAGTGCAGACTCTGAGAAGGTAAGGGATTCAGCTCAACTCCTAAGGCGGCTTCCTGGCACAGAGGGACTGATGGGTTGAATGACTGAATGGATGAATGTATGTTCTGGGAGTCCAGGAAAACTTCATTTAATTAAACTTTTGTTTAGTTTGCATGAATCCAGTTCTAATTTAAACAAATAGGCCATGCAATTGGGGAATAAATAAAACAAGCTGTCAAATCATAAATTATTTCCCACCACTGCTTGGCTTAACATTTAGAGAGTGGATGGTTCACATGAATGTTTACACGGCATTCTTCATAAAACTACAAGTACCACATTGAAGAACATTTGGAAAATGGTAGAAAAAGAACTTAACCATTTTACATCCTCACTACCACTGCAACTAATGAAATTCTAAAATTCCCCAATACGTAGTCTTCAAACTTCACTGCATTCTTACATGGTTTAGAGACATTCTAGAGATCCAACAAATTACTCTGGTTTTTAAACTTTTATCTAAAGCTCTTCTGAATTCTAAGATTATGTGACTCTACTTGAAAACCAATAAAAAATACAAGCCATTCAATAACTATGCTTTTTACTTCAGAGCCCGTTAAATAAGGAATTTCTGGGGACATTTGAATTTTTTCTTCTAGACCCAAGTTCTCATTTTCCTTGATCTGAATTCATTGAACATTTGGGATTTCAACAATACAAAGAAATACAAAGAGTGACAACCCTTGATCCATTTGAGTCCACTCTTGCCAACAGCTGTGACTTGCAGATCACTACAGGAGCCTTCTTTTGGACTTTCTATGAATGAGTGGGGTGTTATTAAGAAAAATAATAAAAAACACAAAGCAGGTTGGAAAAGAAAATCTTTCCTACTAAATAAAGAGAATAAACTGTTCTCTGCCACAGTAGCACTAACATACACCCCCACCGGGTATGCACAGTACAAGGCAGAGGCTGGACCCAGAGGGCTGCGTCCTGGCCACGGGCTGACCCTGCAGCTACCCAACAGCAGGCAGTGGTCAGGGTCTGTGGACCTCTGATGGAATGGCCTTGTGCCAGGTAACCAGCTCAAGTGCTGCAGGCTGACACCAGGAGGCACTGCCAGTGAAGTTAGGGACTACCAGCCAGGTCACGGGTAAGGGCCGCCCCATGTCCACGAAATTCCCCTTTGAGACTAACCATCTGCAAAGCACAGGGAAATTCCTCTGCCGCCTGCCGCCCATCGGATTGTGGCAATGAGATCTTATCTCTTTTGCCCACCAGAACCTCAGATACGGTGAGGGGAAGGATGTTGCAGAGAGGAGGGAAGGCAAGGGAGGAAAATGGCTCATGTGGAGGCCAAGAGGGAAGCCGGGAGGTGCAGGGGAGCTGAAGGAGGCTGCTGAAGGCGGAGGCAGGGTCCTCACTGACAGACTCCCCTAACACCATTTCCAGGGTAGGTCTTTTTACCTTTTTAATCTCGAGACAAAAGAGGGCAGTGATGTCCACCCTTCCTAATATTGATTTCTTGGGTCTGTTGATAAGATCAACTAAGGTGAGGCGCCCTTTTCAATTGTGTGAAAAATATAAAGGATGATGATGACGACAATGAGACTCATAATAGTGATGGCATGTTAGCATCTCTTGAAAACGGGTCTTGAAGGTGGCAGGGATCGTCTCATGTAATCCTCATCACCACAATATGATCCCCGTTTTGAGATAAAGAAGCAGAAGTACAGAGAAGCAAACTGACTAAAATTGCACAGCTACTTAGTAAAACTGGACTTGAATCCTAGCAGTCTGATTCCCGGGCTTGGGCTCTTTACCTGACAATGTAACAGAATAAGGTGAGGAGATTAAGATCCACAGTGCAAATACAACCTGTGGAGTTTTAATTTTAGTCCCTCTCTTCCTCTCCTTTTCCATCGTCCAGACAGTAAATATTTTTGAAGAGTCTGATTCCTGTCCAACATTATTCGTAGTTGGGGGATCTAGCTGTGACCCTCTGAGACCCTGCTCTCCCGGAGCTTAAGGGCTAGTGCAAAAAGTCACTCAACAAACAGAAATGGGCTGACAGTCTAAGTGCTAAGATAAAAATAAAACAGGAAGCTGCAGTGCCCGGTGACAGAGGGGGACAGACCGGTCCTTTCCTCCAGAGCCACTAAGGGATCGCAGGTCGGGGGCCAGCTCTGTGCCTGCTGATGGAGAAACGCAGAGCAAGGCCCCTGTCACTCTCAGGGATCTGACTGCTGGTGTGCCCTGGCAAGCCCCAGCCACCACAGCCCTCTAATCCTTTCTTTACCAAAGGTGGCTTTGGCTCCAACAACTGGGATTTCCTTAGTTAAGTTGGGAAGCCTCCTGGGAGATACTCACCTGAACCCAGTTATTAGATGCCATGAAAATAATTAATGTATAGTAAAAGGTGGTCTCTGCTTTGGGGCATGCCTGAGGATTTGCAGAGACTCCACAGCTGCAGGAAGGAAGGAGGAAGCAGGAAGGACCGTTTCATAGAACCTGGCTTATTAGATAACATTAGACCTGCAGTCAACATCTTCCTTCTCTCCTGGGGTGCAGACACAGAGAAAGGAGCTTACGGGAAAGCATGGAGAAGAAGGTCACTGCAGGGAGGGAGGGTTGGGGGAAGGTACCAAAGGCAGGACGTTGCAGAGGAAGTCACGGAATGAGAGCCTAATCAACCAGAGAAGAAGTCCTCTTCTGCTGTGGGATTCCCCAGATATAAAGGACAGAGGGGCTCACCATAGGGACTCATGAGCTCAGGAGGTGCCAATAATTATTGGATGCAGATCGGAATAGGACAGCTCCACATCCTACCTCAGTGTCCCTCGCCACCAGGGCGGCGCTGTGTTTCAGGCTGGCAATTTGTGCTTAAAGAGAATATTTCGAAAGCACCTCTAGGAAGTAACCAGTGAGGTGAGATGCACCACGGGGGTCAGATGGTCCCAGAAAAGCAGAATCAGAGCCACACCAGGACCTGGGAGCAGCCTCCCTTTGGGTATTAGGACCAAATTGGGCATCAGGAATCCAACAGAAACATGGTCAACCACAGCGTCAGAACTACCAGGGTGCCTGGGCAACTAGGATGAATGTTTAAATAGAATACTGAATCACCTGGTCCGCCAGATAACGCCAGGGTGGAACAGGAAGAGGACCGGACTGTGACAAGATCAGAAGTGACAGTCTGTTAGTCCACTTAAAGCTCAAAGAGGAGAATGTATTCCCGAGAGTCAGAGAAAGAGAAGATAGAAGATGGAGGGAAGGAGAGAGAGTGAGGGAGGGAGGGAGAGAGAGGAGACCCACACAAGTGCAATTTAAAACAGCAAAGATCTTAGAACAGAGGAGTGAATGTTACTTAATATAACATGTAAGTCACTGCCAAGCTTCGTATTTGAAGAGAACAATTCAATAAGCAAAAGATGCAGTGGCCCCTGGCGAACACTTGAGGACATGTTCACAGAGCATTTCAAATCTCTGTAAATATTATCATTTAAGATATCTTGTGTGTACTGTCATAATTTTTTCCACTTTTTTTTTTGCGCGTGTGTGTGGGGGTGCATATCAGGGATTGAACTCAGGGGCACTCGACCCCTGAGCCATACCCCAGCCCTATTTTGAATATATAGGATTGAACCAGGGATTGAACTCAGGGGCACTAGGCCACTGAGCCATACCCCAGTTCTATTTTGTATTTTATTTAGAGACAGGGTCTCACTGAGTTGCTTAGCGCCTCAGTTTTTTGCTGAGGCTGGCTTTGAACTCTCGATCCTCCTGCCTCAGCCTCCCCACTTTATTTTTTCTATGGATGGGAGACAGACTGCAGGGGTGGGATGGGAGAACAACCCCTGTTCCCTCCGAGAAGCCTGTGGGTTTTAAACAGCTACCTTGAGAAGCCCCAGTGCCTGTGAGAGCGCAAGCGATTAAACTCGCCCCGGCTGGACCCACAGCCTGGACTGACATCATTTCTGGAGACGCATTTTTCTTAGCATCCCGTGGTTTGATTCCCAGGTGGGAAAAATGGGGATTTTTCTCCCCCCATCATATAATATCCATATATTTAGTGTCTCCATTGTCTTTTCTCCCCACAATAGTCTGGAGTTCAAGGATTCAAATCTTCCAATCACTTCATAAATTGATGCAGAAAATTCAATGCAATGTCAGAAATGTGCCCGGGTCCACGCACGGCTTGCAGGCCCATGGGCAGGGGATGGGGGCTCTTACCTTTATCATAGATCTCCTTCAAGACCCCTCGCTTTATCAGCTCCTCTCTGCTTTGCCTCATGGATATCTTCCTTTCCAGGGCTACAAGCAAGAGAGAGAGAGAAGCAGGGTGAGTAGGGAACAAGGGCACCACGTCTTTCCAAAGGTCAATGCTGATTGGAACTGCCGTGTGATGCACGGAGAGCTTCTGTACACTCTGCTCCCCTTGTAGAAGGTAACCATCATTTGCTAGGATGATAAGCCTTTGTTTATTTATTTATTTATTTTGGAGAGTACCAGGGATTGAACTCAGGGGCACTCGGCCACTGAGCCCCAGCCCCAGCCCTATTTTGTATTTTATTTAGAGACAGGGTCTCACTGAGTTGCTTAGCACCTCGCTTTTGCTGAGGCTGCCTTTGAACTTGTGATCCTCCTGCCTCAGCCTCCTGAGTGCTGGGATCACAGGCGTGCACCTGGCTGATCAGCCTCTTAATCAGATTATTTGTCTGAACCTTCCAATCTCTACATTACCTATAAAATAGGCATTTTATCGAATTTGAGTTAACCCTGGTGTATGGTGAGGGAGCTGTGGCATGGAGAAGCTCGAGGCTGCACCAGTCACAAGGCCACTGAGCAGAGGGACCAGGACTCCACGACAGACATGTGACCTCTCGTCTGGACTCCACCTTGAAGTCCAAGGCCCTCCCTGGAGTGTGGGGATCTCTCTGGCTGGACTTCACAGATCCCGACTCACTGACTCCCATTACTAAGAAATAGTAAGTTTGAAACTATCTCCTGCAAACGCTGGGCATTGGCATCCCAGGGTCCCTGGTGGATTCTCTGAGAGGCGGCAGGTGACTTCCATGGCAGGAGCCCCACACCCGCCTCTCTCAGGTTCCATGTGTGGGAGCAGCTCAATGAGGAATAGACTCTGTTGGCTCCAGATGTGTCTCCAGCCACACACCTGAGCCAGATGCTCAGCAGGTGGGGCTGGGGGAGGCAAGAGCAGTGGGCAGATGAAGGAGACTTGAGTGGCAGAGGACCCCAGGTGTGGAGGAGTGAGGGACAGCTCGAAGGGCTTGCAGGGGGCTCCGGTGGATCCTACAGAGGACAGCAGCTGCCCCAGGCCCAGCCTCTGGTAAACACTGTGCATGGGGTGATGACAGGTTATCACCCCGAGGCTCTTTGTCACCCTCTGGAGGCATAGTTATTCAGGGGAAAAGATTAAAAAAAAAGTAGGGAAACTTTTTATGTAAATTCATATACAGATTAATTAGACATACACACATGCACCTCAACAGAACTGAATCCGAAGAATATGACTAAGAACTAGAAAGCGAGGAGGGAATCCAGGGCTGTGATTCTATTTGTGTCACCCACTAGCTGTGGGACCTCAGTTGAGTCACTTGCTGGTCTGGGAAAACACAATTTCAATTTTACAGGTCCAGGGTGAGACGGGAACACCTGGATTGTGAGAAAAAGCTCTCCGGGTTATTCTTAGGCATAGCCAGGCTGAGGATCGCCGGTTATAAAATCTGGAACTTACTATTTTTTTTTAAAATCTCATCCTAACTTCTTTGCTTAAATCATAATGAATTAAGTGATATGAGAAAAGAAAACAACTGTCAGGAGAGACGCACTCACCTGTGGCTTACTGAGAATATTGATAATAAGAGAGACATAGATGTAGACCCACGGAAGAGAGGGCAGGAGGTTATCACAGGTAAGGCAAGGGGTAAAGGTGGGTGTAGGAAACACGGGGGTGGGGTTTGTTTTGGGGGTGAAAGCACTTTCCAACGCAGATCAAATGACGTCATAGGGTACAGGAGGACAGAAGGGGGAGGGTTGGGACGGCTGGAAAAGGGGAGGAAAATTCCAAATTAGGATCAAATGCTCTGCAGGGCTTGTGAAGATCTATCTGCCTGGCAGCACTGGGAGAAGACTGGACAGGTCAGGGGAAGCCAGGAGTTGAAGCAAGGGGTTGGTGACACATCTTTTAGAGGACACAAAGCCATGTCATGGAATGAGGTGCTTTGCCATCCTGTACTCAACCACATGAATGGAACAGATTTCTCTTAAACACCGTGTGGTTTCCCAGGACTTTTCAAAACCACAGACTGGGATGGATGGGTCTGGTGCACAGCGGTAAGCAAGAATCTGCCCCCTGGCGGGCAGTGCCCTGGGCTTGAGGGTCTGAGGTTCGAAGCAGTTAGCAGAACGTGGATGGGCTCCAGGCCCACTCGGCCACCCAAACCCCCACTGTCATACTTCACTCAGCCAATCATGACAGAGACACTCCAGAAAAAGGCATAGTAATCAAAGGAAGTTTTTATGAGCATCAAATATTGTGTCTTTCACCCAGTTAGATGTTCAAGTGCGCTATGAATATCTAAATCTTCTGCCAAAAGCAAAGGAATTAACTAGATAAGAAGGTTTTCAATTATTTGCTTATCCAAGGAAAGCTTATTGAATCACTAATTCAAAATGAGAAAAAAAAAAAGTCTGTTCTTTGGCAATTAAGACCAAGAGATCCTCAAAAGAAGAAAGGAGGAGAAATTTAGAACCCTTTTTCCCTCCCCCCAAAAATCTAAACTAAATCCCAACAACAAGAATCTGAGGTGTGAATGAATGCCCCTGTCACCTGACAAGAAGCCCAAGTCCTGGTCTCTGCTCTGGCCTGACCGCCCCCTCTGTATTGCTCCAATAGGAACTTCAGCCCCGTAATCTATCCCTCTGACGGAGAACACAGGGGGCCTCACCAGTTCTGTGACCCTGATGCAGGTTTCCCCAGCAGGCCTGAATATCCCCAGACATTGAAACAGTGTCCGATATGAGGGTGACTCCAGTGCAGGTTTGGCTGGTGAAGCTAGTGTAGTACCCCCTTTCTCCACAGAAAAGTCTTAGCTGGGCTTCTCCAGAAACCCTCACCATGGCTGATTTTAGGACTGTCAGCAAAAGAGTCTCCACAAAAGAGTTCAATGTAGATAAACTTCCTGTTTTCATGTTGCCCTGTTTTACTTGGCCACTGGCCGGGAAGAAATCAGCACTCCAGGTGCTGGACACCCCTTACTAGTTTCTCACAAACATGTATCCAGTATAGTAGTTTGTAGAAATGTGCAAACAAGGCCTCTGGCCTTGAGCTGGGCTTCACAGAGATGTCTACATTTCTAAGATAAGAGAAGTGACCAATTGGGCTTCATGCTAACAGCTGGCAGGGGGAGGAAAGAAAGGGGAGAAGAAGCTCTCCCCTTCTCAGGGGTTGTCCTTGAAGGGTTAACTTGCCCAGAACAGTGAAAGAAAAAGCTGCTTTTATGTGAACTTCTGCAGACTGTGGACTTCTGAGCCCCTCCCCTTACATGCTGGGTATAAAACTCTGAAACTCCCTGAACTTGAGGTTCCGGGGATTGATTGATTACAGCAAAAGCTGTGCCCTCTGAGCCTGGCGGCAGCCAAATAAAACCGTTTCCTGCTATCTTTGGTGCCCTGCCTTGTCTGTCTCTACAACACTAGGGCACGTGAAGAACATTCCTCACGTCCAACATGGCGACCCAACCATGGAAGCGGCTAAGTACTGAGCTGGGGCAAGCTCTTTGTGGCCCATGAGGCCAAAGCTGAGACGACTTACGTAATAATGCTGTTTGCGATGGTGAGATCCAACCCGTCTAGGTCAGCACTTCCCAAACTCTGTTCTGTGGGTGTCTGGAGAAAAGCACTCTGAGGACAAGTGATTTGAGGAAGTGCCACATGCTACAGGGGGGACCGCAGCATTCGCATCACCCTGGAGGCTCCAGGAAGACTCCAAGGAAAGAAAGCAGCTGGATTAACCCACTCCTCCCCACCAATTCCCTGGACCACAAGACCCTTTTATGGAGGATCAGCTGGGTACACAGTTTGCGCTTTGCCTCAGGTTTCACCTTAGTAAGTCCAACCAACAGAACTGCAGCTCAAAACAGTCAGGAAAAACAGATTTGTGTCTGTGCTGGTCACACACAGACTTTTCACCCTGGTCATTATTCCTGAAACAACACTATATAGCAGCCATCTTCATACAATGCATTTACATTGCATTATTATAAGTGATCTAGAAATGATTTGAAGCACCCAGGAGGATGTGGTAGGGACTATGTAAATACTGTGCCATTTTATACAGGGGACTTGAGGCTCCATGGGTTTTGGGGATTGTAGGGAGGGTGTCCTAGAATTAATCCCCCATAGATATTGAAGGAGGACTCTAGCTGAGGGGTTAAATTATTTTGTAAGCGACTTTTTGGTAAATACATTAAACACAACTGAAATCCTCAAGTCCTGTCACATCAAGCAAAGACATCATGACTGGCTGGGATGATCCTAATGGTGCATTTTGATCAGCTCTCTACTTCCTTGTCTTCCTCTGGTCTTGGGGGAACTTCAGGCAGCAGAGCCCTGCACTCGGATGAGCACCTTTGGTGAATCAGCCTCATGAACATTCCCCATAAATAAAGCCACAGACTTGTTTAACCCCAAGGAGCCCAATACCACAGTATCTGCCCCATGTGACAATTCTGGCTTTGATGTAACGGATTTTAAGTATGTCTGATGACTGCAATTCAGACGGCATAGTTCCTCTGCAGTGACAGACTTGGAAAGCAAAGCATGTGACCAATACTGGGGCGGTGTCTGTTCCCCTCTTTGCCAGACCTCATAGGAGTCCTATTAGCTGATGAGCTATTTGTGAAAAGGAAGGGACACAGCCCATAGAAAGCCGTAAGCCGTGCTATGAAAAATACCTTCTTCATGGAGCTCGACTGCGTGCTGGTTTGGAAGAAACCAGCTGACGAAGAACTTTGGGGTCAACTACGCAAATACAGACTGGGTATCAGACCATGTTAGGGAATTATGCGGACCTGGAGACTACCATGCTAAGTGAAATAAACCATCCCCCCAAAACAAAGTCAAATGTGTTCACTGATAAATGGAAGGAAGTTAGCCCACAATCACGGAGAAGAGGGGAAGAATAGATATTCAGTAAATTAAACAAAGATATTCAGCAAATTAAACAAAGATATTCAGTAAATTAAACAAAGAGGAATGAAGGGCAGGCAGGGGAATAGGAAAAGGCAAGA